GCCTATTATGTATCCAGTACAACAAAAATGGACCTCCCATATGGCTGCCTTCCACTGAATCCGGAGAACGCAGAGCTGAGGAAGCTTAGAGTCTCTCCTTAGTGAAACTAGTTATATTATTATCTAACATCCATTTCTTAGTTGTTGGTTATTTCTGTCCCTGATTGTTGTTCAATTTGAAATATTCCACTTTGGAATCCAGAGGCACATTCAGGAAGCTTTTACATTTCAAAAAGCTGGACGATTCATTTTCCCATGACGTTTTCACTGTGGATACCATGGTTTTGTTACTGTGACAACCTGATATGTTTGTAAATATAGGACACGTCTAGAAACTCTTCATATTGTCTATTCATTCATCTGTTTGACTGTCATCCAACATTATGTCCTGGAGAAGAGAAGTAAAACATTTCTCCTAAACAGCAATGCTCAACGGATCATTCTAGGGAACGTTAAGGAGCCGTCGGACTGGAAGAGATCTGTAATCCCTCAAGCAATATCTGGGTTTGCTTAAAGGCTACTTCCAGTGAAATAGAACCTGAAACCCTCTGAAGGGAGGCCCTCAGGAAGCATCTTTATCGGTTCATCCATTTGGCTGTTAGTAAGACTACAAGTTCAAGAAAAAAAAAAAACTCTGGTTCCTCAGAGGGAATCTCCTTCTGTTACCCAGTCAAAGGGGGGCATTTTATTTTCTGCAGCAAATTCAGTAACTGCCCTTATGTCTCTAATCAGGGGGACATGACTGAGAATGTCTGCAGGGAGGCAACTGTGAGGCAACAGGATCCTAGGCTCACATCTTTATCCTTTCACTCCAGGAGAGCAGCAGGTGATGGAGCTTCTCATCCAATCTCTAGTCACCCAGCGGAGATAAACTCACCTTAATCTCTTGCATTTGAGATCTTCTTCATCCAATTATCTGTATCGCCTAACCAGAGCTCCCACTTTACTAAAAATTAAACCGAAATCCATCTATCAGCCTCTTCCTGCATCCTAGAAGAACTTGTGAACTACTCTGCATTAGCCAGAGACCAACCCCCAACCTGGACGTAGCATTTCCAGCCTTTTTACGTAACTAAAAGCCTCAAAGTCAGAGGAACTTTATGATCATGCTGACCACGGCTCTGGCTACAGAAACCGCATTCACTGGGTTCACACTCATTCTGGAAGTTCCAGGACAAAACTCTCCATCCGTGTGCATATCCCCCAATAGTTTCTTTATTTCCTTGTGTCTTTTTTGTTATTACTAGTTTATTTATCATAACTAGGTTTATTTTTATTATTTTGCTTGTGTATTCACGGGAGCCTCGTGAGACCATCCTGATCTCGCGAGCTTTCAAGGTTTCACTCGCAGATCAGTCTGGCTACTTTCCGTTAAAGAAAATTTGGAGCCGTTCACCAAACGAACGTCCAATCAGCGTTGGCTTTGAGGTGGGTTGAGGTGTAATGCAACGAGAAGCGCAACAGTTCAGTCTAAAGAACATGGCGGCTTTAGCCGATGAAACTAGCCTTAGAGTGGCTGTCGACACAAGTTTTATCGGAATTACAGAATTCACTGAAAGAAGAGCAAAACACTGCTCTGGAGGCTTTTCTCAGAGGAAAAGATGTTTTTGCTCTTCTCCCGACTGGTTTCGGCAAGAGTTTGATCTATCAATTGGCTTGTGCCTGGCTTGTGGTCGTGTTTTTGTCGTCACTCTGTTAGTACGTCATATGCTTCGTTGATCTGATTGGTTTATTTGGCCCGTCTATCACGAACATGGGCCAATCAGCTAACCAGTATTTTCGCCCCTTCCCAAAATTACTTCAACGGAAGGTTTCCAGATGGATATGCGGAGCAAATCCTTCTGGCGGAGTAAGGTTAGCTTGACATGGGACCACTGCAGCGTCCGGCAAAAAATCAAAACCTTGTGGAAATTTCAGCAGCGCCAGTCAGCCTCTCTAACTAACCTGAACTGATGTGACTTTACACGTTGATTTCACTGATCCAGGGAGCTCAGCGGTGCCATATCCAGTGTGAATCTGACATGAAGTATGTCCCAGGAAGTTGCCCCATTTCAGGGGCCAAATGATGCGTTCCAGTGATTGATGCCAACACAGTTGCCTCTTTTGATTAGTTTTTTTTAAGTCTTTTTTCCCACTTCTGCACCTATCAAAGACTAACTTTGTTTTCCTTTTCTTTGCACTTTTTTTTGTGGATCAGGTTTTTTTTCTGTCGTCTTATCATGAGGCACCAAAGATTTTATTAATGAATCCTCTTTTCTTCAGGAAAAGTCTGTTAGTTCCTGTCTGTGGAATCTTGCAGCCAAAAAGCCATTTATTCTATGCTATGTTAGTCACAGGTCTGTAGCTTTTTTCTATTGTAGATATACCTTTAATTCTCCCTCAATGGAAGCTTTTTATTGAGAAAGTGAAGAAAAACGGGATTTGGCTGCTGGAACTGGGAGAAGCTCAAGAGATGCTGCTCCAGAGTTGGCTACCTTTCAGTGCAGGGACCAACTCGTACATCCAAGCGTTTTCCCCTCTACAAGCCCCCAATTATCTCCCAGGTCCTTATCTGATTCCCACAGGAGAACAAATGGGAGTGGAGAGGCGTAAAATAATATGGGCGAGAATGCTGTAATTTAGCCCCTGGTGTAGGCATGTCCTGCTCCCTTTAGCCCCGGTTAGTCCCTTCCTTTAAGTCTAGCAGCCTCATTAGGAAGCCTGGCCCTCTTTGGAGACATGGTTGGACACTCCCTCCCTCCCAGATTATCCCGTCACCTCTCACTCTTTGTGACTGCAGGTCAAAGAAGCAGGTTTTACCTAAAGTGAATCGAAGTCCTGTTATTTTGTTTTTTTGTCGTTTTGTTTTAACTGAAATGGGTCATGCATCTGACTGAAGGGCTTGCCGTCTCGTGTGTTTGATGAAGCGATGTGAGGCTTAAAGCTGAGCTGGAAACAGGAGCTAAATTGGCAGGAGGAATTGGAGCCTCGGCCTGATTAGGGAGCCGGCATAAGTGATGCTTCATGTGTTTAGGGGACGTTCCTGACTTGTCCTTTCCTGATTTTGGACATTTCAAAGGGTGATGGAAAGGGGAAAAGAGGGAGGCGGTCTTAAAGTTAAGTTGGTACCAGCCTGCGATAGGATTTAAGTAGCAGACATTCCAGCCACCCAGTGTTCAACCGGTTTTATAAAAGATCTGTGTGTGTTGTTGTGCTATATGGGAGCCAGTCAGTGCTTGGCACTGCAGGAATGTCACTTTAGCACACAAGTTGAATCAAAGCAGTTCATTATATCTTCTATACAAAGAGAATCCCCTTCTGAACGCCCAGGAGCCCTAAAAACACCAAAATACCCCGGGGTCATTAAAAACTTGACCATATGGGCCAAGCTTTTGCCACATCCTATTAACTCCATAATAGAGCCAAGAAATGACTTCTTCTTTGCGTTAAATTCTCAGATTTTGGCCCAAAAAGAAGCGAAACCAGGATGGAGATTAGTCATGATTTTGGAGCTGGTTGGTGCGGACTTAAATTAAGAAAAGAGGCCTCAGAAGGCACTCTGAGGTTGCAGCTTTTCTTCTAAATATGTGTTTTTAACCTGGAAAACTACGGAATAGGAAAATGCACATGCAAGGGCCCCACTTGCTGGCCAGGAGGAGTTAAAGTTGTAGCTATCACCATTATCCCTTCAGCTATCGTTACTCCGAACCTTTCATCCGTTACTATATCAGCTGTAATGCCCTAGCTCACATTGGCCTGCCATTTGTATTTCCATTAACAACACTGGTTCATGTTTGATGGATGCTTTAAGGTGGATATTCTTAAAATTTCTTCATTTACAGTTGGGTTCAAAGCTGCTATCTCTGCTAAGGTAAAGGGCTTGAAATCAGGAATAGGAACTCCCACTTTAGATCATTTATTTTCTAAAAATCCCAAACAAACGATGATGCAGCAGATTCTCTGGAAACGATGCAGAGGGAGGCATTGTAATTCTGGTCCTCCAGCGCCATTAGTCCTGCACTGTTTTAGGTTTTCCTGTTAAAATAATCTTGATTTAAATGAATTGTTCCCCACCTGCTGAACTTGAAGACAGGCTGCAGAGATGGACCGGAATCACTGACAGGGGAAGGTCTGGCTTGAAGCATATTTGGAAAACTGAGAAATGAGATTCAGAGGAATCGTGCAAACTAAGGCTTATCGGGATATCACCATGTATTCTCATTTCTCTTTTCCTCTGATAGATAAAAAGGGAAATAATTCGAAGCTCCAGGTTCTGTGGTGGAGGGAATACCGCAAATTAAGATAACCGTACTTTGATGCATTAAACTATGTCTCTAACCTTTGCGATGATATTAATAAAGACATTAAAGTGCATCAGTGATGGCCGTTCTGAGGCGATCGAGCTGGGGACGAGGGGTTTACTGCTGGGCCACAGTTGCGATCACCCCTTGGCTGAGAACCGCTGTGATTTCAGCTTTCTCTCCACAGTAAGCCCCCCCTTTCCATTTCTTCCTCCCCCATCCCCTCATTCCTCCCTCCCCCAGCCCTGACTCTGTAATGAACTCCCCTTATTCACCAGCTAATGACTGCCTTTGATCTCCCGCCTCAGACCTCTGCTCCAGCTCTACCTTGCAACTCTCTGATTTCTCTGCCTCTCCTCTCCATCGTTTACTGGCTTCATTTCACCCCTCCTGTTATCATCCTTCCCTCTGTTTCTCCCTCAGTTGAGCTCACACTCCTCTTTGACGTTTTTTTTTTTTTGCGCTATAGGGTAGTGGAGGTTTCAGTCCCGCTGACCTAGGCTAACCAAAGTTCGGAGCTACCAGGCTTAGAAGCGACAAATTAAAGACTTTCTCTTCTTAAGAAAACTTTTAAGAAAGCAGAAAGCTTTTTTCTTTTTTTGCTGTAAAACCTGCTGCTGTGTTGTGGTAGCTGTGCAGCGAGACCATAAGTCATGTTGCAACTAGCATGAAGCAGATCAGTCTAATGGGTTACATGTTGTCTTGCCTTTGTCCCCACAGTCCAACAAAGTTCCCGTCGTCCAGCCGTCCCACGCAGTCCATCCACTCACACCGCTGATCACGTACAGCGACGAGCACTTCGCTCCAGGACCCCATACGGGGCATCACCCCCAAGATGGAGGCAACAAACAAGGTAGAGAGAAAATAAACTGTTGCAACATTAGATGGGATGAAACTAGATTTCATTTTCACTTCAAATGTCCATCCATCCATCCATCCATCCATCCATCCATCCATCCATCCATTTCCATTAATCTCTATGGCCTAGCTCAGACCCTCACCATTACACACCTAATCCTAACCCACTTTACCCAAGAAGAGAACCTTTCCTAATGGTGACAGTCAACTGGTTCCCACCTGTAAGTAGCATATTCTTGTAAAATAGGCCTTACACTGTCCCCGCAATGTTAACAAATACTTTGCCCAACACAAACTCACACTCAAAGGGAATGTAGAGACACTAATTAACCTTACAGTCATGGTTTTGGACTGTGGGAGGAAGCTGGAGTACCTGGAGAGAACCCCCACATTTGCTGGGAGAACATATCAACTCCTAACCTGACAACAGCCAGATGCATGTCTCACTCCGCCCAGCTCCACTCACATACATCTGGGAACCCGCTCATTGAAAGTGATTTCCCCAACCAAATTTATGGTCTGTCCAATCAGGACACAGGGCGGGTGTGTCCTGGAGTGGAGAAGCGACCGTGAGATTCCAACAACAATGGCGGCTCGCATTGAGGAAGCAAGCGTTAGCATTGAAGCTGCTATTTCTTATGTGTTGTCCAATCTATCTGATATTGTTTCATCAAAAGAACATCAGAGAACGGCTTTGAAGGCTTTTGTTGGTGGAAAAGGTGTTTTCGCCCTTCTCCTGACCGGATTTGGCAAGAGCTTGATCTACCAAATGGCTCCTCCTCTCACAGCGTCACGGGTTAGCTTCGGTGTGAGTGGTTGAAATAGCACGTCACTAAAGATGACAGACAAGTGGCTTATCCAATCATATGCAAGGAGTTTTGATAAGGCCCAGCCTTCAGTAAAGGCAATTCCTATGGCGGGTTCCCAGATGTATGTGAGTGGAGCTAGGCGGAGCGAGACATGCATCTGGCTGTTGTCAGGTTAATCAACTCCAAGAAGAAGGAAACAAACTACTCCACCATGCAGCCTCTGCTATTGGCCAAATTACCTTCAGTCTGGTGAAAGGCAGACCAGAATTCAAAAATACTAAAGCTCTCAGTTATACTGGTTCAAATGGCTCCAAACGATGAGCAAGAGTCGCCAGTGGTTTGTCCAACCAGCCATATGGAGCATGGAGGAGAGGCTCCCACAGCTGGAGGCCAGGGTAGAGATGAATTGGTTAAATGACCTATTTTTAGCGTTTCTTTGTTTGTGTCTAATATATCAGTGGTAATGTTGAATTGTGTTAATAGTAAAAAATAAAAATAAAAGCTTAAAGTTGATATAATGAAACTTTAATGGGGTGGCATTAAAGTACTGCCCCTCCCCCACGTGTTGCCATCTGAAGGAAGGCTAACATAGTTTTCCTTCTCCTCCAGCTTTAGAGTTTAAAATGTTCTTGATTGTGAAAAACACAGAGTGTCGCCGTGTTAAAACTAAAGGAGCTTCTTTTCTAAAGGATATCAAAGTAATGCTGTTTGAAATGTGGGTATGAAAGCTTCCAGTCTATGTAGCGTCTGACTGTGGTCTGTAGGGCAGCAGACAGCCCGCCTAATGAAATAAGTTAGAACCTTAATTTGCTGGATCGACACTAAACAGATCGGAAAGGTAAAACCAAGTTATTTCTTCTGCAACAAACATGATTTCTACCTTATTTAGTTGCTAATTGTGTGTATGTGTTTTTTTTTTTATTAGGTTAGTTTCAATTTAAAGTAGAGCAATTGTATAAAATGTTAAACATATATATTTTTTATTTCATGTAAAAAGTCTGAGCTTCTCACAGCCCTTGAGTAATTACAGTCTGTTTACTTCAACTTTTGATTGAAGTAAACAGTACACTGATTTGGATTTCTGGATTTCCCAGAAACACAGCAAAGTGATCTAATTGCTCCGATCCCGAAACAAAAACCTCATCAACATCAGCTGATGTTAAATATATCATTGGAAACTGCAACTAAAATCTTCAGAACAATGTTACAAATATTCCAGCGTAATTGCCCAGGATATTGGGCACAGTTGATCTTTTTCTTATATATCTGATGGGTCAGATCAGGACAATTGGAAAGGGTCTGATTCGCCCACATGTTGGTTTAAAAAAAAAAAAAAAAAAAAAAAAAAAAAAAAGCAAATCTGATTGCAAACCTTCTGCTTCAGGATAAATGTAGCAGAATGCATCAGACTTCAATGACTGCTGCAGCGTGTGCAGCCTATTTATAGAAAGGATTGCATTGATTAGATGTTTATCAAGCTGTTGTACTCCAGGTACACCATGCTGGAACTCTGCACAGCAGCCCTACTTTTTCGCACCAACCTCCTGGGTTTTAACATCTCGGCCTCCATTGTCTAAATGAGAGGAAAGATCAGGATGATGGAAAGGAAAGTAGAATAAAATAGAAATGAAGTAAGACCAAAAATGAGTTACTAAGCAATTAAGTAATTAAAAAATGTAAAGGAAGTTCAGAAAATCAGTTCCTCATGCCTTAAATAAACACACCGTTATCAAAGCAAGAGACTTCAAGGATTCAAATAAAGCTTTCACTAAAAATAGAGACTGATCGTTGACCTGAGTTTTATTTAACTCATGCAACACTCAAATAATATTTTTTTTTTCTCCTATCTCCAACTGTCAGCGCTGTCAGCGATGAGTAGAGACACAAACCCAAACGCGTCACAGTAAAGTCCTCCTTCTGTCTGAGGCGGTTTGAAGCCGCCCTGTCGGGTGGCGTTCCGAGCCTCCTTGCCCTCTCCCTCTGTGCTGCTGGGCTCCGGGGAATAAGATCAAGCTGCAGCTCTGACAGCTGCCGAGGAGCTCTTCCGCTGTTTGGACGAGCCCCCTCGGCCCTGCGCAGCTGGAGACTTTGGCAGCTCCTCACTGAATCCCAGGGAACAGGGGAGAGAAAAAAGAAAAAGCGGAGCTTCGTCCTGCACCCTTTCACTTCTTCTCTCCGCTTTCTTCTCTGGCGATGTAGGCGATGATGAAGACGATAAGGACGGGAGCTTCTGAGCGACCGGCTATAAATAACGATGCGGAGCGGAGATGTTAAGAAGCTGTGCTCCACATACGTCGTGCGTCTGCCAGCATTGTGCTGTGATGTCGAAGCATGAAAGAACAAACAGGAAACAAACAGAGAAAAAAAAGGCACCATATTTTACTTTTCACATCAGTTTCTGACAATAAAGAGAGAAAAAAAATCCCCCAGAGGCCTTTTTTTCTCTGCATTTGATCTGTCTTCTCACCACCCAACACACTGCAAAAAAATTAATCTAAATAAGTCATTTTTTCTTAAAATAAGTGTATTTTGTCTTGAATTGAGGAGGTAAGTGAGACACATTGCCAATGGAAAGACAATTTACATTTAAAATAAGAAAAAACTATAGAATTGTCTTATTTTAAGTGCATATATTATCTAATTATCTTATTTTAAGAGTAAAAATACTAATTCCTTTGGCAAATCATCTTATTTAACTACTCATATTAAGGGTAAATACACTTAATTAAAGATTTTTTTTGTAGTTGTTTCTAGATCGTTTTTGCAGCATAGAAATCCATGTCCAAGCAATCCTCCTGCAGAATTAGCTGCAAATGATTTCCCCAGGCGTATTCATGTATGCATCAGGAGCTAAGCTCAGGACGCTTAAAACCAAATCTCCCATATTTTTTTTTTATCTGTCCCTCTTGCTCTTTCTCTCCCTCTCGTATCGACCAATAGCTGCTCTGCTTCGTTCAGATGGCTCAGACTTTGATCTGCTCGTTAATTATGAAAAACAATCATGGATTTTCTCATTAGGAGCTCTAATATGCACGGGGCTGCTGCGTGGGATGGAAGGTCGAGCAGAGGGAGGGGGTGGAGGAGACGCTCCGCTGGTTTTACATGTTGAATGAAAAAAGAAACATGGGAACCATGAATTAGACCGTTTTACGCATCCGCAGTTTTGTCGCTTGTTTTTGATGGGAACAAGGCTGCAGATCTTTGCTGTATTTCTATTGGAACGTGTGGAAAATTAGGCTTTCTACAGGCGAGGAGGACAAGGTTAACACATCAGGGCTCTGTATTCCTCCCCTGCTGCTTCACCCTTCACCTCCTTCCCTTCCCCGAAGGAGCATGAGGCAGTGGATTAGCGAGCAGGGAGCAGAGCCATCTATGCCATGAATCCAGCGCTGCAGCTTTGGCTCTGCAGATAGAAGCCTCCCACTCGGCCTGCCTCTCAGAGGAGCATGGAGGCCTCCAAAGACCTCAGCTGGGAAATGATAGAGAGGAGAAAATGAGCTTTCATCTAGTTTAGAAGGCGGTCTCCGTCTTAAGGCATTTGACCCTTTTCTGTTTACATGCAGAAGTCTGATTTACGTTTTTTTTACAGGGAAGATTTGCCCTGGTTTTATGGAGCAGTTTAATTTATTCTTTTTCCCAAGTAACTACCTACATGAAAAATGTATGCAATGCAAAGCAGAGCATGATTGGGACATGGAGGTCCAAACCGTACCAACTTTATTTATAAAGTCCTTTTAAAAACAAGCACTAAACACAACAAACATTGATTAAAACGACTAAAACGTATATAAGTAAGGCATAAAAACAAAAGCTTCAATGGTCATAAACCAGTTTTATTAAACAAGGTCAAAATAAGTCTAAAAGGATAATATAACCATTGTAAAATGTATGCTAGGTGTCTGAATTTGTAAGTTTAGGTCAATAAACATAACCTGGGTGCCATTCCGAACTTAGTCCCGCCCACAACGTTTGAGGTCGGGAAGTTCGGTCTGACATTGCTCAATAGTAGCGCGAGTATGCTCGCCCAATATTTGGTCGATCCAATCAAATTGTCAGGGCGGGCTTTATACGATGATGGACATGTATGTATGTCATCAGTTATGAGTGTTTGAGTATTGATACTTTTTGGACAGCTCTACTCACCTGACTATTATGATGCGCCTTATGCAGTCTGTACTTGAAAAAATATAAAAAAAACTGGAGGAGAAAATAAACATTTTAGCCTAAATCAAGACTTCAAATAAATGTACAATATCTTAATGTCATATCTTAAAGCAAACAGATTAAAACTAGTCAGTTGGACCAGCAGGGGACTGAAAACCAGTAGAAAAGTGTCCGCAGTCTAAAGAAAGAAACCTTAGGAAGATCTGTGTCCATTAGATCACCTTTAAAGAAAAGCCTGGCTGATTGGAAGGAGAATGTAAAGAAGTGGGATGAGATGTTTCAGCAGGAAGTAAAATAGATGTTTGTCCTCCTGCAGCTCTGTTTTTACTACGTTGTCACAGAAATAAACCTCTTGACCTTGAAGCTCAGTGGGAGCTGCAGATTGAGAAGCTTAGCTGCGAGAAAACCTCCAGTCATCCAACTTAAGGAAGCAGAAACACTGGTGAGACTCCAGCTCTGCTCCTATCCCTCTGTCCTGATTATTAACCCGAGGTCAGAGGTCATCATACTCTGACTTACGGAGAGCTGGAATGAGGCTTCAGGTTTTTAAGCCACATTCATTTGGTTTTTAAAGATAAATTATACCTTCAGCTTGCTGGGCTGAACTGTAGCTGAAAAAAGCCTAACTCTTTAAAAATATCCTGCAGGTATTTTTGTTTTTACTCTGATTCAGAATGAAGAAGGTTTCTTCCTGTTTGATCTGTATCTAAACCTCCTCTCTGTTTGCAGGAATGCCCAGACACCATCCTGGACCAGAAATGCCCAACTTCTACTCCCTGTCTCCTGGAGGAGTGGGACAGATCACGCCTCCTCTGGGATGGTGAGTCACAGTGCATGCTGGGTGATTAATGCCGGTCCTGGACCAGCCTGGTGTGCTGACTGGGGGAAAGCCCAGTCTGCTGCAGGGAGGTCTGCAGCTCGATCTGCTGCGGTTTTCGACCACACTGCTCCTCTGTGTGCGTCGAACAGATCACAGAATGTGCGCTGCTCCAGGATTCAAAGAGTTTTGAAGAACTTCTCACTTTAAAAACTCCAACTCTGCTCATTTAATCCTCTGCTTTCTTTTGCTTTCTTCTCTTCTTTTTGTGTTTTTATCTTCCCTTTTCTCTCTTATTCTGTCATTGTCCAAATTTCTTGGGGGAAGCTGGATGTAATTTGACGAAGAAAAGTTTCTAACCCGTCATCTATCCTTGTTTCTATTCTAATCTGATTACCTGCAGCTTTTTTGCTCAGTTTTTTTGATGTAGTAACACTTCTGAAGACAAAAAACTTAAATTGTTAAAGGAATTTTAAGTCAGGGGTAATATTTGTGAGCTGTAACCAATCAGAAATTGTTATGGTTATAATGTCATCTGCTTCCCTTTTCTTTATAAAAAAACAAAACAAAACAAATAATCAATAAAAGCTGAATGAAACCACTTCAGGTTCTGATTTTCTCCTACAGGTTTTCCATTTGGACTGCCTCTGACTAAATAAATATAATAGCCCAGTTCATTTGGGTTGATTAAATCAATCCAGATTTTATTTTCTTATTTTGTCAGGTAACAGAATTGCCACCATGCTGAAAAATAGACAAAACAATGAAACATCAACATTGGAATCCTCTTAAATGCAAATTTTTGTTTTATGATTTCATATTTGATGGCGATTAGTGATTAGGTAGATTAAGGGTTGTTTTATGACCATGTCTTTTGTGTAAATGTATTATATTTGTATTTGCTGCCTAGAGGCTAATCAGATAGAAATGTTTAACATGACCCCTGGAAAAACAAAACATTTGAGAATACAGCAAAAAGATGGGAAGGTAATTGGCTCATAAGGGAAAATGCATGGAGGAACCTTCCTGCAGGACTGTGCAGAGGCGTCCTGTTTGTCTCTGAAGCTTTATTCTCTGGAACTGCGTAAAGCTTAATGCATGTTGGCTAGAAATATTTCACCCAGGCATTTTAGACAAGCCTTTATACAGATAAAAGGAGGTGTGGCCTTGGAAAAACGGTTATGTTCTTTACCAATCTTCATTTGTTAAGGAGTGAAATAAATTTGCTGAGGAATGCTTGGAAACTGATAAGACATTTTCATTTACTACAAAATAAGACGGATGCCCTAATACATCGAATGTTTTTTCTAAAATGTGAAGAAACAAACATTTTACGTTGTGTATATAAAACTAGAAAGTCCTGCATTTCATCGTTTTTTAATTTTTCAAAACATCTTTTGAATGTTGGGTGAACCAGCTGAACGTTGTGCATTTCCATCCAGCTTCTTTCTAAGTAAAGTTAATTTGAAAAACTTGTTTTAAACCTGAGTTTAACGGAGCATAGAGCAAGTTTCAGAGTTTTAGCATACACTAGCATGCACATGCACAGCTTTTTTTTTTGGAAACTTTAGATATTGAAGTTATCTTTAGCAGAAGCTGTAGACTGATGTGGCCCTATTTTGTTGCCGTAAACCAGCAGTTCCCAAAAGTTTCTGGCCTAGCATTCCTGTCTCGCCCACGCACACGCCAAGAGAACTCCACCTCAATCACTCCTGATGAACTTACTAATGGAGCTTTTAGAGGAAGCCGCCATAAAAGGAGGAACTGTGAGGACGTGTGCAGGGAAACGGTATTTAACTTTTAAAACTTGCTTAATGCACCTTTAAACCAAATCTAAAAATAATACATTACAATTTCCCTTATTTTCTGTCACCTTTCTTGGTAAAGGTAAAGTTGAGCTTCAAGGCAATATAATTATCAGAAAATCCTCCATCAGTTGAAATGGGTCACATATTACCCTGATTCTTGGGTCCATTTAAAGAAAAAGATAAAAATGTAACTTTATTGATCTCATACTGGAGAAACTTGCTCAGAGAGCCAGAGTTGCAGTCTGTTAGAGTGGGTTTCGAACTCACAACCTCAGGATTCCAAGCTCTATATTCCAAGCCACTCTCCAAAACTCTCTCCTCTGAGCTGGATTCAAACCAGTGAGCTAAGGATACCCTGTTCTGGTCTCCGCTTTACCAACTGACCTATCGAAGGTGCGAAAAAGGATACATTTTAAAGTGTTCTTCGCTTTGATTATTCCTACAGGTTCTCCCACCACATGGTGCCCGGCCCCCCCGGCCCCCACGCCACAGGGATCCCTCATCCAGCTATCGTCAACCCACAGGTCAAACAGGAGCCGCCTCATGAAAGTGACATCATGCACATGTAAGTTCACTTCAGACGAAGACGCTACCGCCGTCTGACTCTGCGGACCTCCAGGTGTTAGAGTGGAGAGTAAAACGATCCTCCTGATGAGAGCTGATAGGCAGCCGGGGGTCCGTCCAGCTGATAACGGCCCTGAGAGCCAACAGATATGACTGAGATTAGCTCTTCTGAGTGCAGAGAGCTGCTTTGACTTGTTCCCAGCATTCCCATTGGCACCGTGAGACAGAAGGAGTGGGAGGAGAGGGCTTCTAACTGGGAAGATTTCAGCATTTGGTTTTAAGTAGTTTCCAATGTTCTGTGGACAAAGTTTGGTTGCCATTAATGGTGAAGTAATCTCTCCGCATGACGGGCTGCGAGTGTGCATGATTAAAGAGGCAGGGGCCCATGGCGTGGCAGGGCTTCTCACGCTGCCCCACTATTGGCTCAGGGAGCAACCAGACCTTCACGCCGCTTTCTGCCCCCCACTCCACCCTCCCCCGAAATGTCTTCCTTGTGTTGCTTGTGTGGCTCCGCTCTTTCATTCTCTCATTTTCCAACCACTTTCTTCACCTCTGTCCCACGCCGTCTGCAGGAAATCGCAGCACGAACAGAGAAAGGAGCAGGAGCCCAAAAGGCCGCACATCAAGAAGCCGCTAAACGCCTTCATGCTCTACATGAAAGAGATGCGTGCGAATGTGGTCGCCGAGTGCACGCTGAAGGAAAGCGCCGCCATCAATCAGATCCTGGGACGAAGGGTACGTCACAGGCTCATGTTGTTTTGTTTTTGTTTCCTTTAAATAACTTCATTTGGCTTTGGATCAGAGTTCAGGAGCCTCCAAATGCTGGTGAAAGAGTACAAAGCCTTCCATCCATGTGAAGTCTTAGCAGTGTTTTTAGCTTGCGATAATGATGGCCTCAGCCAATTAGCTCAGATACGGACCTCTGTCAAACTGTTTGATAGAATCCCCCTGAATAACAGCGCAGTTGGAAACGTGTCCCTTCTGAGCTGCATTAGAGGCCCCACCAATCCGCAGGCTTGCTTCAGTTTGTGGCAGCAGATAATTGCTCACAGACACGCTTTGCATAAAAAGTGATGCTGAATTCAAGTGATATTTGGTTATAAAATCAAAGCTATTATACACGTCCAGCGTGGCGGTTTCACAACAGAAAACTTTCAGCCGCATGCACGGTATTCGTTTTAATCACAAAATAAGGTTTTTTTCCACTAATAAACCCAAAATAGGCACTTGTGAAATGAAACAAATCTTTTTATCTAGGTTGACAGGTTCCGTCTAAAAGTAATTTAGAAAACATCCAGAGCGGCATAATCAGAGCCTGAGCTTTGGGGTGGAACAATAGATCGAACCGCATCGATTAATTGATTAACGATTCGATCACATCGATGCAAAATGAAAATAACATCCATTCACATTGTAATTATTTTAGATAAGTATTTATTTTTGAAAGAAACTTTGAAAGATTTCAATGTCTGAACTTGTAAGAGCTCCGAACTAGAATGGTTTGATAATTTTTTAGGGTCTTTTTTGTGAGATATCTATGTTGCATCTTTGAACAGCACCTTCAATCATTGTAAACCAACCAATCAGAGCACAGCTCATCTAAATATTCATGAGCATAGCATAAAGGGAAGAAAACCTGTTGTATCATTTTAGGTCTTTTAATCAGGTTTACGTTAAGGCTCTTAGAACAAACAGCAAATATGCCATTTTCAGCCCAACCAATGTTACACACCCTATTCAGAGACCTTAAGAACCAGCACCAAATACCCTATAGAATCTAGGGCTGGGTAAAAAACTCAAGATGACTTTAAGCCAGACAGCTGCATATATAGCCAATAGGTTGATGGAAGACATTAACAAATTAGGGCTGACCAGAAAACACCCTGTAGTTGTTAGAAAACGCTGCAAATATGGTTTGTGCAGCGAAGATAATGCAGCTCACGCATGTCTGCTGTGTCACGTCTGCTTGCTCGAGTCAGGCTTTTTCACTTTTAACAAACAAGTTTGCACTTTTGAGACAGTTTTGTTCACATCTCATGTTTAAACTGATTTACAAGTTTGCACCTTGTGTTTAATATGACAGGAAAAAATTAAATGCATGTTTTGAAACACAGTTGAACCCCTTTCATCATTGTAAAAACAGATCGAATTTACGTAATTAATCGATTTAGAACTGCACGAATCAAAATGAAATCGATTCAGGACTTTGGCGAAAATACCCAGCCCTAATCGACATATTCTCATTATCAGTGCGTATGAAATCGTACGAAAAGTTATGGATGTTTTTCCTCAAAAAACCACATCAGTGCGCATGCGCTGGCAGACAGAAAAAAAAAGCAGATCTGCGGACGGATGTAAAACTGGGAAAAACAGTGCAATCATCACTTATTCATGTCTCTAACTACGTTGCTTGCTGTTTTATATCTTAGGGTTAGGGTCAGGGTTAGGGCTAATTGTAATTTATACAGGTGCTGGTCATAAAATTAGAATATCATGAAAAAGTAGATTGATTTCAGTAATTCCATTTAAAAAGTGAAACTTGTATATTATATTCATACATTACATACAAACTCATATATTTCAGATGTTTATTTTGTTTAATTTTGATGATTACAAATGACAACAAATGAAAATCTCAAATTCATCATATCAGAAAATTAGAATATTGTGAAAAGGTTCAAAATTGATGGCCCCTGGTGCCACACTCTAATCAGCTAATTAACTCAAACCACCTGCAAAAGCCTTTAAATGGTCTTTCAGTCTAGTTCTATAGGCTACACAATCATGGGGAAGACTGCTGACTTGACAGTTGTCCAAAAGACGACCATCGACACCTTGCACAAGGAGGGCAAGACACAAAAGGTCATCGCTAAAGAGGCTGGCTGTTCACAGAGCTCAGTGTCCAAGCACATTAATAGAGAGGCGAAGGGAAGGAAAAGATGTGGTCGAAAAAAGTGTACAAGCAAGAGAGATAACCGCACCCTGGAGAGGATTGTGAAACAAAACCCATTCAAAAATGTGGGGGAGATTCACAAAGAGTGGACTGCAGCTGGAGTGAGTGCTTCAAGAACCACCACACACAGACGTATGAAAGACATGAGTTTCTGCTGTCGCATTCCTTGTGTCAAGCCACTCTTGAACCACAGACAGCGTCAGAAGCGTCTTGCCTGGGCTAAAGAGAAACAGGACTGGACTGCTGGTGAGTGGTCCAAAGTCATGTTCTCTGATGAAAGTAAATTTTGCATTTCCTTTGGAAATCAAGGTCCCAGAGTCTGGAGGAAAAGAAGAGAGGCACTTCATCCACGTTGCTTGAAGTCCAGTGTAAAGTTTCCACAGTCAGTGATGGTTTGGGGTGCCATGTCATCTGCTGGTGTTGGTCCATTGTGTTTTCTGAGGTCCAGGGTCAACGCAGCCACATACCAGGAAGTTTTAGAGCACTTCATGCTTCCTGCAGCTGACCAACTTTTTGGAGATGCAGATTTCATTTTCCAACAGGACTTGGCACCTGCACACAGTGCCAAAGCTACCAGTACCTGGTTGAAGGACCATGGTATCCCTGTTCTTAATTGGCCAGCAAACTCTCCTGACCTTAACCCCATAGAAAATCTATGGGGTATTGTGAAGAAGAAGATGCAATACACCAGACCCAACAATTCAGAAGAGCTAAAAGCCACTATTAGAGCAACCTGGGCTATCATAACACCTGAGCAGTGCCACAGACTGATCGACTCCATGCCACGCCGCATTGCTGCAGTAATACAGGCCAAAGGAGGCCCAACTAAATACTGAGTGCTGTACATGCTCATACTTTTCATGTTCATACTTTTCAGTTGGCCAACATTTCTATAAATCCTTTGTTTTTATTGGTCTTCAGTAATATTCTAATTTTCTGATATGATGAATTTGAGATTTTCATTTGTTGTCATTTGTAATCATCAAAATTAAACAAAATAAACATCTGAAATATATGAGTTTGTATGTAATGTATGAATATAATATACAAGTTTCACTTTTTAAATGGAATTACTGAAATCAATCTACTTTTTCATGATATTCTAATTTTATGACCAGCACCTGTATTCTATATTCGTGAATGGTGCGTCAGATGCGCATGCGCATGCACATACGACGAAAAAAACGTCGAACTCATAATGAGAATAGATTGCCTTAATAGAATCATTCTATGACCCCTTTATGGCCTGTTGTTTGCAGTCACAGTCACAACAAAACAGCCTCTTCTATTCAAATGTTTTAAGTTTTTTTTTGTTTTTGTTAAAGGAAAATTCCGGTTTTTAACACTTTTAGCCCATTTTCTGTAGTGTCCAGGATGAAATCGAATGATCGACACCAAAATGTTGACAATTGACCTGTCTCTGCTATTTGGCTCATGCAGAATCCCCCCCTGGCTGCTTCAGAATGGCTTCCATTGTGCATGTCCGATAATGTCCTTAAAACAACCTTAAACATTCTTTTTTTAAAATATGCTACTCACCGGGTCGTCAGCGCTGTTCAATGACGTTCCAAAAAAAGTTTCGTAAAGAAAAAACTTTCCTGTAGTGTTTTATTTAGCATTTTGTAAATCCCATTGAGTTCTGTTGGAATAGTCAATATCCCTCCGCCCCCGGAAACGGAAATGGGGCCGGTTTACACTTAGTTGTAGTCTTTTCGCAAGGCCCAAGTGTTTCTGCTTCACTCTGTGTACTCCGACGTCGAGGTGCTAACGTCTCTGTTAAACACTTTAAAAAACTCTGCAAATGGAATACGAAAGGTGGATTCTTGAGGAGGACATATTGGACTTTGAGTTTGATGGTAGAGGATACCGTCGCCAACTAGTGGTCTGGAGTGTGCAACACTTCAGATTCGAAGGGGAAGCGGAAGTTTATAAGCAGTTGTGATGTATCGGAAAAAATAGTTCTGGGATTTACAAAATGCTAAATAAAACAAGACAGGAACGGTTTTTCTTCACAAAACTTTTTTTGGAACGTCATTGAACAGCGCTGACGACCCGGTGAGTAGCATATTTTAAAAAAAGTATGTTTAAGGTTGTTTTAAGGACATTATCGGACATGCACAATGGAAGCCATTCTGAAGCAGCCAGGGGGGGATTCTGCATGAGCCAAATAGCAGAGACAGGACCAATTGTCAACATTTTGGTGTCGATCATTCGATTTCATCCTGGACACTACAGAAAATGGGCTAAAAGTGTTAAAAACCGGAATTTTCCTTTAATAAATTTGCTCTCAGATGACAAGTTAAACTGTTAAAGCCAGCATTCGTGATAAATAAAGAGTGGATACCCCGCCCCTGCTGCAATAAAAGGCTAATTCATTCAAGGACTTTTACACGTCTTCTGTAACAGTGCCAAAAGATGCAGGATTTAGAACTGATCCTTTTCACGGGTTTTTAAACTGTTGGAATGCTCACCACCCTTAGAAGATTCATGGTTTCTTAGACCAAATTGGAAATGCTGAACTGCATGCCATCCATTAACCAATTTTTGTCCTTCTAATCTCTCTTTGTACTGAAACAGTGGCATGCTTTATCTCGGGAAGAGCAAGCTAAGTATTATGAGTTAGCCCGCAAGGAACGGCAGCTCCACATGCAGCTGTACCCCGGCTGGTCCGCCAGAGACAACTATGTAAGTATGAACAGAACAGACCGGCAGCGGTGCGTGTGCTTGCATTCCTGTTGTTTACATGTCTGCGTCGTGTGATTCTGGTCTTTAAAATAGTAGGCATTCACTGGCGGGAGCCTTCTTCATGCTAATAGGGCCTGCCTGCAGAGCCTTTTGTTTCTGCATAATGTGTAATTCATATCATTGTGTTATGGTGCCGTCCGCGCACAGAGGGGTGTTAGGATCAGCGCCATTATTAGTGTCGCTGTGAGGGAAAATTGCCTTGTAATGGTGATGCTAGTCTTTGATGTGCCGTATCGGAGCAGAGCTTCAGATGTAGAAGCAGCTGTTAAAGCGAGCCGAGGAGGCCGGGCTGTTTCTCCCAGAGTTCACCTCTGCTTCCCCCCAGCTGCTCATTTTGTTCCTGAACGCAGCTCTGTTAGCAAGATTTAGGACATCCAGGGTTATTTGGCATAAACTTCTATAAGAATGATATATATATATTTTTTTTTTCATAAGGGCAGCCCTCTTCCTGATTTATAGTCTCTAGGATCTATTGAGATCTTTGTCACACCAAATCTTTGTATTTAGCAATAATAGAGAGAAATGCTTTTTTCCTGAAAAGATAATCAGGTGCTGAAAAGAAAGCAAAGTCCAGGGAAAATCTTTAAAAAGTCATTCAAGGTGACGGCTTCAGTCGTGTGTGTTTGACCAGCACTGTCCTCGTGTCTGTGTGACTGTGATGTGTGGGATCTTTCTGAGAGAGAGCACCAGCTTTTATTGAAAGTGTGGCTCCGGCACTCACCTTCACTCCACCACCGAAGTGCTTTGTGGTGTTTATCTGCCTCCCCTCGGACATCCGCAGCATCCCCACCTCTTTCTGCCTCCGCCGCTCCGCTGCTGACATGCTGCTCTGAGACGGACAGGGAGAACCACATCTCCATCTCCTACCAGCCCAGGTGTTACCTTATTACTGGGAGAAAAGAAACGTAACAGCTCATCTGCTTCATCAGCCGTAGAGTGGGAACCCCACCGCGGCACAGAGAGCGTGCAGCGTGCACCCTTCAGCTGTGCAGCGCCTCTCTCATCCTTTCTTTCACCCTCTCCTGCTCGCTCTGTCCTCCATGCTGCCTTGCCGCAGCGGCAGAAGTCAGATTAGCTCATGAATAAGTGGATTAGCAGACTTTGCAGCAGGAAACCAAAGTGCTTCTCATATTTGACTAGAACGGCTCTTCACTGCTATCTATACCTTTAGTCCCCCTCCTTAGGGGATTTAACTGAAGCTTTAAATCCACCCATGTCCTCACTGGAGGGAGAGTGGCTTCCTTTGCAGATGATGCTCTAATTTTAGAGAATATTTGAATTGCTGTTAATCTTTAGGACTTCAGAGCTAGAGACAAAGGAGGACACCCAGATTAGGCCCCCAATTAGGTCGCTCCCTCTCAGAGTTGCAGGCTGCAGTGGACTCCGGAGGCTGGGAATTTGCTGCTCGGATGCCCAGCAGGGGATGAGTGAACATGGCAGTCAGCAGCAGGATATCCGAGTGGTCTAGTGAGCGTGAGTGCTGGAGCCACACTTTATGCGTTCCTCTGTATATTTTTAGGGGAAGAAGAAGAAGCGGAAGAGGGAGAAGATGCAGGAAACGGCCACAGGTGAGCGCACAGTCTGCAGCTGCAGCCTTTTTTTTTTCTTTCTTTCTCCCGTCTTGTTTGTGTGTTTTGCATGTAGGAATTTGGGATTAATAATCTGTTAGTTTTTTTTGCTATAGAATTATTTCCCAATTGATAGTAGATCAAAAATGTGATCCGCGTCCATCGACCATCAGCATTCTGACCCCACTTGTTTTGTACGAACATCCCCTGATCCATTCATTCTTTATCCCACCGGTGCCTCCATATATTACACCTACTTTGGGATTAGTCTGTCCTTTTTCTGGGAGTACTTAGATTCTGAGCTTTGCACTATTCTTCTGCCTGCTGCACCACAGTATGTCTCTCTGCTGACCCTGTTTTTATCTGTGCTTTCTGAAGCCCCCTCTTAGCTCTGCAGCTGTAATCCACTGAGAATTACACCTTAGAGTTAAATGTCAGTATTTTCATGGTTCAAATGGACGTATAGCGTCCCGATACAAAAACAAACTGTTAAAAAAGATGCAATTTTCTGCAGGTACAGGCCAGAGAATGAAAACGGCGTACATCTGAGAATATGGTAAGAGACCACCTCTATGCCCTCCCTGTCTGGTTAATATATGCTTTCTTTTATAAATCTGTTAAAGACTAACTTAAGAGCTCTGTGTTCACAGACTAATCCTAAACAGGTCCACCATAACCTCTCCATAGTCATGTAGCTCTGTTTATTAACCCCAGAGTGTTGTGCTCCTGCATGCCTGTGTATTCTGCTCTGTTGTGTAAAAACGGATGGTAATTATAATAAAAATCACCTTTGTTTTTGGTCATTGCAACTGTGCATTGCAGTGAACTTTGCCCTCTGCGTTTGACACATCCCTGAGGGAACAATGTGCAGCTTGCAGCACCGGTTCTGCTTTAGCTCATCTGACTCCAATGTGAGCTCAGTAGCAGGGCTCTGTAGAGCTTGACTGCATGCTGCTTCATCCATTTGACTGGTTTGTAAGGCGAGGGATACATCATGGATTTCCGTAATAGAACACTATAAGCATCCAAATGAAGTCAGATATAGATGGCGTTGGGCACTGCCATCAATGCATCTTTTTCTCTGTAAAGATGGTTTATTTGTGTAATGTTTGGCACCGCTGATGGATGCCAAATAGAATAATTTAGCTAGATATAAGAATTGTGATTATTTTGAACCAATTGTGCTCTTTAATTTTCCTTTGGACTAACCAATAGCGTGTAGATCAGGGGTAGGTAGCGTCGGCCCTACAGGGCCACTGTCCTGCAGCTTTTACATGCATCCCTGCTCCAGCAAACCTGAAACAAAGGGCCAAATGACTTCCTTGACATGTCGGTAAGTTTAGCACAGGCCTGGAGATTAAAAGTTTGTTTGTTTCAGGCGTGCTGAAGAAGGGCTGCATGGAAAAGCTGCAGGACAGTGGTCTTCTAGGACCGACGTTGCGTACCCCTTAGGCAGACGTTTTTTCATGACGTTTAAAAACTGACTTTAAGTATAACCTTTGTATGAAAAAAGTGCTCACTATACTTTATGGCTCTGCATGCTCGCTGTAAATCTGTCTTCCTTTCTCCGTGGCAGCAAATCAACTCCAAACTAATTACAGCCACCTAAAGGGCTGGAGTGAAAAAGTCAGTGTTTCTCTTGTTAAATATAATGTCACCAAAATTTGCCTCCACGATCTGAAAATGTGGTTTTGTTATAAATTAAGATTATGTTACCAATGCAATTCATTGAGGCTTTATTTTGTGGACCTTAATGACTCGCTGCACCTCTATTAGATCTCAAGGCATCTTATAGTTTAAAATGAAACATGCACTACTTTTATTTATCATGCCGAGGATACGTTGAAGTATACGTCCGTATGAATTGTTGCCTGCTGGTGTCCTCAGCTAAAGGCAGCTCTTTTCCTCCTCACCGTCTCTCTGCTCTGCCTCCCCATCGGTGGGTCAGTATCCCGTTATTCCGCTTCCAGAAAAAGCCGGGCAGATGTGACAAATCAGCCCAACAACACAAAGGTTTTCCACTCCATCGATTCCTGACCTAAAATTAGGCCGCTCTTTTTTTTTTTTTTCTCTTCTTTTGTCTTTTTTTTTCTTTTTTTATACAAGCAGACGGTTTTCAAAGAGCATTCAGCGCAAGCGCGAAAAAAAAAAGGCACTTTATCTCTGATCCAATAATTAGCAGCGCCTAGCCGCAGCGGGATGGACACCCCGGCTGATTCTCAGTGACAGCCTTAAACTAATATGCATAATACCGAGGATACTGCCACAACTCCCCAAGCCCTCAATTTATGCAGATCCCAGAGAGCTGGATTGAGGTTAGCCTGCTGTAGATGCCAAAAACATCTTTAAATGAACTCGTTTGTCTGCTTCTTTTCATCCGTCCCATCTGTCCGTCTCTCTGAACAGTGGAGGAGAAATGCTCTTAATAAGTTGTTACTTTAATTGATTCTTTAATTAAGCTGCATTTAGGGAAATGTGTAAGTGTTTAAAACTACCAACTACTATGTTTTTGTCTCATTAGGAGGAGACGATCAAATATATTTCTGGCTTTTTTTGGATTTTGGCGGGTTTAAAATGTTAAAATATGAGGGGGAGAAAAGTGACCTCTTAAATCTCAAGAACTTTCTGAAGAAGTCTGGAAAACAACAGTTTGGAGATTAGATTTGATTCTTTATTTAGCCTGTTATATCAATGACCATTGAGAGAATGACTTTTAAATAAACCCATCAGCATGTAGTTGATGAACCAATAACTGTCATAAAACTCGCACAGAAGTTATAGATGCATGAATAAGGATAATCTCCATATAATATCCAGTACCTTTTTTTTCTCTCTTGTATTTTATCGTCCATAAAACCAAAAAAAGATAACTAAATCAGAATTGGTCTAAATGGGATTTAGTGACTCAGACCTTAAAGAAAAACGGAAAACTCTGATTTCCAATCTGGTAAAATCTCTGAACAGCTTTAATCATGTTAGGTTAAAATGTTCAAACTGTTTGTAACCTTATTATCCTAATATGAGCCATGTAGAAAGATTCACAGGGCAGCATGTGGTTCACAGGTAGTCAATCATAATTTTATTTTTGTGTGTGTTTATTACATGCATGTGCAGTTGGTTGGGAGTTTGAATCCCTGTATTAATAGTAGAGCCCCACTGCTCTCAGAATAGGCACATTCAGGGATGAAGTAATGAAAAGGACCCAATTAAGGGGAATAGATGATTCCACTATGACCTGACTGCAAATGGAGCGATTACCAGAATGGTTAAGGTTTAAAATGTGCTTCTATATCTCCTTCTAATGAGAACTCCGGAAGATTAAGATGTTAGTTCGCCTCAAGTAACCCCCCTAACCCAGTGCTGGCTTTGCACTGCTAATCAGCTGGCTGAAGGAAACATACTTACTTCTGCTGAAAAACAAGCTACTGCAGACTGAAGGCTAATTACCACTAGTGATGGACCGATGTAATTTGTTGGCCCTGATACCGATACCTGGCTGTGCAGTATTGTCCGATACCATCTGTTTGAAATTGATGTGTGTATATATGAAGAACTGCATACTACTTAGATGTAAAATAATTGCCATCATGGCTTTGTCAAGCTGCTGCCTACCTTTGTGAAGCAGGAAAAAGACGAATACAAAATGAATCTAGTAGAACTTTTTATTTCCTACCTGGAATAGGTGACAATAGTTGAATAAACTTTTGGCTCTCAAAATGGTTTCACTCGCTAATCAGTCTGGAGACTCTCCGTTGAAGAAAATTTAGAGCCGTTCACCAAACGAACGTCCAATCAGCGTTGGCTTTGAGGCGGGTTGAGGTGTGACGCAACGAGAAGCGCAACATTTCAGTCTAAAGAACATGGTGGCTTCAGCCGATGAAACTAGCGTTAGCGTGGCTATCGAGCAAGTTTTAGCGGAATTACAGAGTATTTCTTCACTGAAAGAAGAGCAAAACACTGCTCTGGAGGCTTTTCTCAGAGGAAAAGATGTTTTCGCAATTCTCCCGACTAGTTTCGGGAAGAGTAGCCTGGCTTGTGGTTGTGTTTTCGTTGTCGCTCTGTTACGTCATATGCTTCGTTGGTCTGATTGGTTTATTTGGCCCGTCTATCACCAACATAGGCAAATCAGCTAACCAGTATTTTCGCCCCTTCCCAAAATTACTGCAAATTAAGGTTTCCAAATGGATATGCGGAGCAAATCCATCTAGCGGAGTCAGGTTAATTTGTTGGTACTCGCTGATACCGATACCACCATTTTAGTGCTAGATCGGGGCCCCGTCTGATACTGGTATTGGTGCAACACTACTTAACACAGCAGATTGCCTAAATGCAAGAATTCATACATTAGAGTATCATTGGGAAATTGGAATAATTGATGTTTTTTTGTAAATACACATTTTTAAGTGACGGCCTAGTGGTAAGGGCATAGGGCTTGGAATCCTGAGGTTCTGGGTTCAAGCCCCACTCCCACAGACTACCACTCTGGCTCTATGAGCAAACACCCTTAACCTCACGCTGCTCCCTGGGCGCTGCACAATGGCAGCCCACTGCACCCCAAGGGGATGGGTGAAATGCAGAGGTGAATTTCTCCAACGTGAGATTAATAAATTCAATTATTAATTATTGTTTATGTGATGGAGTAAAACAGATGTTTTCTTCTAAATCACCAAAGTATTCACAGCCCATACAGTGAAACTAAGATCACAGCTTTTCTGTCTGTCAAACTTTGGTATCTGTCTTTTACTTGCTTGTTCGACCCTTAACCAAAGAGGCTGTTTTATGCCTAAAGATCCCCATGCCAGAGTTAAGAGGCTTTATGCAAGAGAAATCCATAGACATTGATCAGGGACTGAACTGAAAGAGAGCAAACACTGGATTGTTGCTGATCAAGGCTGTTTTACATCAAGAAAAGGAATATTTTTACATTAAGACCTTAGAGTAGAGAGTGAGTTATGTCACCCAAACTTTAATTCTGGGGTTCTGATGTTATCTTAAGATGAGGAAAAACCCGGGTTCTTTCCACATGGAGTTTGCATGTTCTCCCTGAGCATGCGTGGGTTCTCTCCGGGTACTCCAGCTTCCTCCCACTTTCCAAAAACATGACTGTTAGGTAAATTGGCTTCTCTAACTTCTACTTAGGTGTGAGAGTGTGAATGGTTAGAGTGTGAATAGTTGTTTGTCTCGCTGTTGGATAAGCCTGATGGAAAATGGATGGAATGGGAAAACAAGAATCACTTTTCTTTTCTGTCTGGAAACTGTTGGTTTTTCTTTTTCCTGGTGTTTTCCGGCTCAACCTGCAGAGCATGTTCAGGTTAAAGAATAAACTCCCAATCAGGCTGGAATACTTGGATAAAAAAAATAAAAAAAACTTTTAAATTCTCCCCCAGAATCATAGTAGGAGAATATCTGTTTATCTTATGGTCTGTATTTATTTATCACTACCTGAGAGCATCTCCTCCTCTGATAAAACTGTATCTCTGTCACCTCACCCCCCCCAAGCCTCCTTGGAGCCACGCTGTTGGCTCTTTGTCTGAGTCAGCCGCTGATTCACAGCCT